GGGGACCAGGAACCGGGATGGTGGTATGAGAAGCTTAGGAGGCGGGCCCCGGGACGCGCCTGCTCCACCCGGAGTCGGGCAGCACGCTCTGGCCGAGGACCCGCGGCAGCCCAGTCCCAGCCATGATGGTCCCGGGAGCCCTAACCCGGGACCCATCCCAGCCTGGTCCAGCCACTCGCAACCCAGACGGTGCGGCCACCCCACCGGCTCTGTCTGGACACTCACCTACTCGCACACAGGCACGGTGAGGACTGGGATCCGGGCACGGATACAACCTACTCTCAGACTCGGAGTCGGACTCGGACTCTCGGTTCCTCGCCTCTTCAGCAGCCGCTGCCTTAGCCCGCGCTGGGTCCCGGCTCCAGGGCTGCCTATTTAAGCTTCCGTCTGCCCCCGCCTCCGCCCCTGCCCCACGCCCCCGGTCCACCCTGCTGCGGGGGCTGACGTGTCCATCCACCCCCACAGGGGAATCCCCAACTGTTCTCCCGGGACCTCACACCCACCAAGACCCTGCCCCACCCGCCAGGGACGGGGTGGGTAGTTGTCTGGGAGTAGAGGGGCTGGCCGGCGGACAACAGGACCAGCCAAGTGCAGCAACTCCCCTTTGGGGAAGAATTAGGTTTGGCCCCATAAGAGTGAATTTGCCCTTCCCTCTCTCCCAATCCCCAGTCCTGGTCTGTTGCCAAGCATGTAGACAAGTTACGGGCTAGACGGAGATTCACCCTTTCCTGTCCATAACACCCACTCCCCACGGGCTCAGATCTGAGCTAGAATTTAGGGCTCCTATATCGCACACCAGGTCCTTCCCACTGCCCACTCTGTCCTGGAGCTGAAGAGTCTCCCTAATGAGCCTATTCTTCTGGGTGAGAATCAGTGTTACCTCATGAGCCTTTGGGACCCTTAGAGGGCTGCTGGGGGTAGGGGAGAGGCCCTTTGGCAGTGTGTTGCAGGTGGAGGTGCATGCTTGAATCTGGGGAGGAATCACCAGTCCAGAGATACGAAAGGACCAAACTCAGTGTCCTCCCCATCTCCCAGCACCCACCAAGCAGCTGCCAGCAACTCTACTAAAAATAACCTGCCCCTGGCCCTGGCCCTGGCCCCGGCCGTTTTGCTCCTGGACTGGATGTTGCCCAGAGTTGGGGAAATCCAGGCAGACGGGTGTCAGATGCCAGCAGGAACCAGCCGCTTTCAAGTCGTCAAGGTCTTCTCTCTAGCCACAGGCTGGGCCGGCTGTTGAGGGCACATCCAGGGCACATCCAGGCCTAGAGGTTCAGATTCCTGCTCAGGAGGGGCATTAATGCAGAGTGTCTTAGCCACCATTCAGTGCCACCACTGCTCAGAGCTCCCCACCTCAGGCCTAGGACAGGGGCCTGAGGAACACAGGGAAGGAGATGTAATGGTAAGGCCGGTTTCTAGTCCCTGCTCTGCCTCCAGCCTCTTTCCCAGCCTCAGGGTGCCCAGCTATAAATTGGGCATCACGACCTATTCCTCCCTTGCCTCATCTCCAGGGTGTGTGAGGGTTGGGGGCTAGACTGTGAAGTATTTTGTGACAGACTCCGACGTTTGATTGTGACAAGTCTGGTGAAGGTGGGAGGGCACCCATTTGGGGCTCAGGTGACATCACAGAAGGATGAACCCTAGTGGGCTGTTGTAGGTTGTCATGGAGACCTGGGCCAGGCTCTCAGGATGCTGCATCAGTTTCCTTGGCAACATCTAAGAAGGCCTTGGAATGAGGAGGGCCTGGTTAGATAAGATTAGGGGGTTCATGCAAGGCCCTCTTATTCTTAAAGTCCCTAAAGTAGGCAAGAGCTGGACTGAGGGGTGGCCTGCCCATTTGTGTCCTCCCCATGGTCCTTGGGGATCTTGGAGGCCTGGGCAGCCCCACACTGGCTCTGGCTTCCTGGACAAAGTCCAGTGGGAAGAGGGAGTTATGGGCAGAGCCTCTTGTCAGAGGACAGAAGTTTAAAGAGTCAGCACACCACCTTCCATCAGGAGTCCTGTCTAGGCTCTTATGCCAACCTCCTCCCCCCTACCACAACCATAAAGAACTCCAGGTTGTCCAGCAGAGGCCAGGGGTGGGGGTAGCTGTGGCCTTTCCCAGCAGACCATGCAAGGAAACAGGGCTGGGTTTCCCCTCTGGTAATCTGAGCTCTTGACTTCAGCAGTGTTTCTTCATTGTCAAGGGAACTGCATCCACAAAGGGCCACTCAGGCCCCAGGCATTCCAGTAGCTGCCCCAACAGGCCAGAGACACTCATCACAAGCCTAGGTATGGCCAGGGGCCCCACAGACCAACACCAGGACATGACCTTGAGACATCCCCACTCCCACTGCCTGGCCCTACCAGCTTTCTGGGCTTGGCTGCCCAGAAGGAACAAATAAGATAGAACCACTCCTAGGATAGCCTAGGCTTCAATCCCAGCTCTGCCTCTTGGTAGACATTTCACCTCTGTCCCTTTATCTTGGCTGAGCCTGAGTTTTCTCCTGTGTAGAACAGGGATCATCTCTTCCCGGAGGTTGTTATGAGACATAAATAACATGAAATGAAGAGGCAAAGGATCTGGCTCAAGCCTGGACCATGGTCCTATCTCAATAAGAACACTTTCATCAGCTGGGTGCGGTGGCTCATGCCTGTAATCCTAGCACTTTGGGAGGCAGAGGCAAGAGGATTGCCTGAGCTCAGGGGTTCAAGACCAGCCTGAGCAACATGGTGAGACCTCATCTCCACAATTAAAAAAAAAAATTAGCCAGGCTTGGTGGCACATGCCTGTGGTTCCAGCTACTTGGAAGGCTAAGAAGGAAAGATCGCCTGAGACCAGCAGGTCGAGGCTGCAGTGGCTGTGAGCATGCCACTGCACTCCAGCCTGGGCAACAGAGTGAGACTCCAACTCAAAAACAAACAAACAAAAAAACACTTATCATCATCAATCTTGGTTGGATGGGACAGGTTGGGTGAATCCATGGGCCCACTTCTGCTTCAGCTCCATTTTCTTCAAGGTGGTGTGGTCTTCCCAGACGTGGGACAGAGGTCTCAGGAACAATGCAGATAGATTATCTTTCCCTACCCTCATACCCATCTCCTTTTTGTGGGACCCTACAGATAAGGGAGCTTCCTCTTCCTGCTCCCTCAAGTAACAAAATGTTGCAGAGAACTTGGCTTCAGTCTCTGTGGTTCCTCACACCACAGCCCCCAGGCCCTCTGCTCTAAGCTTCAATTCAATCATTCATTCCACCAACCTGTACTAAATACCTACTATGTGTCAGCCCCTTGTGCTGCAAGCAGGAGGATGAGCAAAAATAGAACTGGGCATGTTCATATATGGCATCTAATCCTGGGTCAATCTCATTTAGCTATGACTTGTTCCCATTTTGCAGACAAGGTAACCAAGGCTGGAGGGGTGACAGACCAAAAACAAGAGTCAGACCTACCTGGGGGAGGGTTTCAGAGACCTCAAACTTCACTACCTCCCTATACCCTGTGTCCTCAGACAGCCGCTGAGGTTCCAGAAAATTCCCTGGGTGCTGGCCCAGTATGCACAGATGGTGTCCCTACAGGCAGCCAGGGGCCAGGCACAGATGAGTCAAGACTGACAAGGGGACTGATATGTCAGCTGTGGCATGAAGTTTGGTGTCCCTCACCCATCGTGGCCTGGCTGCCAAGAGGGCCAGCTGAATGACTCAGCGACATCTGCCTTCCCTGTGACCCCCTCCCCACCAACTGAACACAAACAACATGGCCACCTCAGACAGATGGGGACTGTCAGGGCAGAGGTACACACATGGCAAGGCCTACAGCTCCGGAAGGATCCCCAGGGCCTGGCTGGTCATCCTGCCTCTCTGGAGCACTCAACTTCTTCATCTAGGGAAACAGGGAATACAACGTCTGGAACATCTGAGACAGGCTCAGACCCATTTTAAATCTCCACAGAGCAATCCCAAATGATTGCCATGGCTGTCCCCACACAACAGACAAAAAAACTCTGGGCAACATGGGCTGATATCTCATCTCTCTAATCTTGGGCAGCCAGATCCAGAGTCTCCTCTTGGGATGGTGTTAATGGCAGTTGGGGGCTGAGGATGGGCATAGGGCCTTCTATGGAGGCAACAGCGCCTCCTACCAGCTGGGCAGCACTGCCAGGCTGCTCAGGGTCTCCTTTACTCCACAGCTGGAAGTCTTGAGAAGTAAATTAGAGTTGTCCCTTGGTATCTATGGGGAATTGGTTCCAGGACCCTGCAGATTCCAAAATCTATGAATGCTCAAATCTCTTACATAAAATGGCACAGTATTTGCATATAATCTATGTACATCCTCCTATAAGCTTTAAATCATCTCTAGGTTATGTATAACACAATGCAAATGCTATGTAAATAGTTGTTAGACTTCATTGTTTAGGAAATGCTAAGGAAAAAAGCCTGTACATGTCCAGTACAGACACCAACATCACAGGTCTAACTACATTTTTAATCTATTGTTCTTGGGACCCACAGATAGAGGACCCACAGATATGGAGGGCTGACTGTATTTATCTGGAAGTTCATTTCCTCACCTAAAAATTGAGAGCAAAAAGAATATTGGGTGTGGTGATGCACACCTGTAGTCCCAGTTACTCAGGGAGCTGAGGCAGGATAGCTTGAGCCCAGGTATTCAAGGCACTCCGCTGCACTCCAGCCTGGGCAACACAGCAATACTGCCTCAAAACAACAACAACAACAAAAACAGCTACTGGAGGGAGAACTGACTAAATATTAAGAGTAAAGCCCTTGACCCAACGCCTACTCTCAGGACAGGCCCGATGTTGTTGGCAGGCCCTCAGGAACAGATTTGTAAAGTGCCCAGCCCAGGCTCCTTACTGAGGTTTCTTGAAGTCTACCCACATCTGAGCCTCTGCAGGGATGGTGTGGGGCTGGGTAAGCCTTCTTAATATTCCCATTTGTCCTCAGAGAATGAGACTGAGGCAGGGATGTCCCCCTGGGAAAGGACGTCCCTAACTGGCTGAGCCCCACAAATACACTCTAGGCACAGGGCCAGCAAGAGGCAGAGGCCCAAGACCTGAGCACATCACTTTGTGGTGCAGAGTGCACCCCCCTTGCCCAGTATCTGGGGTGACATACCTCTGGGAGAGCTGATGGAGAGGTTGACTCAGGTACCCCTCAACACAGAAATCTGGCATCTCTGCCCTGACCAGGGGACCAGACTAAGCATCGCTAACAGGACAAGCTGGCATCACACACCTACTGATGGGTTTATAAGATACTCCTGGGCAGGGTTTTCATTTCATTAAAACACTCAAACCCAAACTCATTTAGGTCTTTAGACCAACTTCTAGTTTACAGGCAACACAAATCAGGAACAAATCAGACCGTGGGACAAGAACTCCTCCAGGACAACTCACCTGGACATTTCTTTTTTTTTTTTACTGAGTTGTTGTCTCACTCTGTTGCCCAGGCTGAAGTGCCGTGGCATACCCATGGCCACCCCAGCATCAACCTGCTGGGCGATTGGCAATCCTTCCGCCTGAGTCTTCCAAGTAGCTGGAACTACAAGGCATGTACTACCACGCCTGACTAATTTTTTTTTTTTAATTCATTGTAGTGACGAGGTCTCGCCAAGTTGCCCGGGCTGGTCTTGAACCCACGGGCTCAGGCAATCCACTTGCCTCAACCTCTGAAAATGCTGGGATTACAGGCTGAGCCACCGAGCCCGGCCACCTGGACTTTTCTTTCTTTTTTTTTTTGAGTTGGAGTTTCACTCTGTCACCCAGGCTGAAGTGCTGTGGCACACTCATGGCCACTTGCAGCCTTGACCGGCTGGGCTCAGGCAATCCTTCTGCCTCAACCTCCCAAGTAGCCAGAACCACAGGCATGTGCTACCACGCCTGGCTAATTTTTTTTGTTGTAGAGACAAGGCCTCGCCAAGTTGCCCAGGCTGATCTCGAACCCGTGGGCTCAGGCAATCCACTTGCCTCAGCCTCCCAACGTGCTGGGATTACAAGCTGAGCCACGGAGCCCAGCCACTTCAACTTTAAAAAAAATCAGTGTTAAGAAAGACAAAGATGGGGGAAGACAATTCTAGAAAAGGTCAAAAAGAGAAATAACAACCAAATATAACACATAGACCTTTTTTTCTTTATTTTGGAGTCAGGGCCTCACTCTGTCAGCTATGCTGGAATGCAGTGGCATGGTCATGACTCACTGTAGCCTCGACTTCCTGGGCTTAGGCATTCCCTCTGCCTCAGCTTCCCGAGTAGCTGGAACTACAGGTGTGTACCACCACACCCAGCTTGCTATTCTTTTTTGTCCTCAATTTTATTTTGTCCATGACCAGTTAATTTTTTAATTTTTTTGTAGAGATGAAGTCTTGCTATGTGCCTAGGCTGATCTCGAATTCCTGGACTCAAGCAATCCTCTTGCCTTATTTACACAAGAAGTAAATAAAGCCAGTGTTGCAATATGTCAACAACTGTTGAATCTAGTGGTGGTTGTGGGTATACAGGTATATTCGTATACTACTCTTTCAATTTTGATTTTGCTTTGATTAGGGAAACTTGGAAGTACACCAACCTACTTCATTACCACTGCACCTCTCCCAAATCCCAAGTGACGGTCCAAGATAAAAGACACTAAGGCATGCTGGGAAAGGAATATAAATTAAAAGTTTATTACAAAATGCAAAATGTTAGTTTCTCATTGTCAGTGATTCAAGAAAACAAGGCCGTGAGCCAGGACACTGGTGTGCAAGCCAGGGGGTAAAAGCCAGACTCAGGAGCGGGCTGACAGGCACTGATTCACAACCTCCAGGAGGTGGGTGTTCTCCAGGGCAGCTGCCACCCGCTCCTTATCTGCAAGCTGCTTGTTCACTGGGTAGGAAGAAGGGAGTGGGAAAGACTGAGTCAAAGCCAGGCTCTGACCAGGCTGCTAACCAGCCTTACCTCTGAGCCACTGAATAGGCCCACCAACAAGGTCCACCTGTTACCTCCTTCCCAGGACCCCATGCCTTGATCAGGCTTCCGCAACCACTTAAGCCCACAACTCTCCTGCTTTCTTGGGACCCCTCCCCACTGGCTGTTAAGTCTGTCTCCTGTATTGCTAAAGCCCAACACACTCTGATCCTATGTACTTAGAGGAGGAGGGTACAGACTGGGGGAGAAGCACGGCAGGGGAGGACATGGTAAGCACAGGAGACTCAAGTCAGGCCAGCTTTGGTCTAGGCTACCACCTGTATTGAATCTCTGCTAACTACACTCACCCAGTCGCCCTTCCTCAATCCTGCCCCACAAAACCTTAGACAACTTGGGGCCCCAGGTCCACACATTCATCACCAGCCCACACTTACCTGCATGCTCTGAGGCATGGGTCCCAGGTGTAATGTGCACGTCCATCTGGGAGGGAGATAACTAGAGCCTGAGCACCCACCCTCCCACCCACCTCTGTTCCCTCCCTCCAGACACTCAGGCACCACCTCCAGCTGACCCTTATTCCTAATCATGCTTTTAGACTCTGACTCTTCCATTACACCCCAAACTTACACCAACTTTACCCAAAGAACTGGCCAATTGACTTAAGTGACTGCCTGTACCTCATTCCTGGTCCAAATTCATCTACAACTTCCTACTGCCCCTCCTGCCACACTCAATACTTTTCTGCACTTTCCAGCTCAGATCTTTATTCTTGTTGCCACATAGAGTGGGAAAGCTTCCTTCCAGTTTTATCGTTCCAGGCCCCACTCTGATGTCCTCTCCATGTTCATGCTCTCCCAGTTCCCCTCCTCAGTAGCAGACTCTCACACTTGTCCCACTCCTGGGGCTCAGCTCCAACTGACCTTGAAACGCTGGGGAAGGGAGCGAAGAAGCTTGACCTTGATAGATAGGCCAATAAGGGTGGCCATGCTGCAGTGCGGAATGGTGGGTGTGAAGGCCACAGCCACTGTGCTCTCCGGGTCGCTAACCTGGTTGTGGAGGGGAGATGTCAGGGGTCACGGCCACTCCCAGCCCCAAATCCTTCTTAGTAGGTTGCAAGTCGTCTATCGTCTATGGGCCTCAGTGTCATCATCCATAAAATGGGCACAACAATCCTCCCTCCAGAAGATATCCCCTCCCCCTGAGTGAACGTCAGCTGAACATAACTCTCCCAAAAGCTCGGTCTCTTCGGACGCTGGGAGTAACTCACCTGAACCCGGACTTGCTCTACTACATTCAACTCCTCTAGCGTCAGTGGATGCTCTGGGTCATTGATAGAGCGAATAAGATGTGGCAAGTGAAGGAAAACGGACTCGGCCCCTTTGCCCACTCAGAACCCTCCGCCAGGAATGCCCGGCCCGGGTCCTGCTCCATCATCTGTTGGACATCACTTCTCCCCCAACCCCAAGACCGCGAGAACCCGCCCGCGCCCTGCAGCGGCGGATATCGAAGATCTCGCGCGCGTCGATGCTGTCGGGAACCTGCTCGTCCTCCTCGCCTGCGGTCACGGGCCGCTCTCCAGAGCGCTCGTAGATGAGTGGGTTGGCATTCTCCAGGAGGCCGCCCCCTACCCCGCCGCCGCCGCCCCCCACCATCGCGGAGCCGCTGCCGTCCACTGTCCGCGTGCACTTCCGCTCCTACCGGCGCACTTCCGGGGAACGGGAAGGGGGCGTGGCGTGGCGACGGCGTCTTGCGAGGGACAAGCGGCGCCGTAGATACTCTGGTCCCCGATTTGAGAGAAGCGGCGACCGCGACGCTAGCTACTCGGACCCAGGAAAATGCTGGTCACTCGAGCAAAGGCTGTGTGAAAGCCTTCTGGCGGCGCTGGGTTGTGCGAGCCCGTAGGGGCTGGAACGTAGAGACCAAGACCCGTTCTTGCGGGGCGCTAAAGGTGTTCTGAGATTGATCCTCGCACCGCCTCCTCCAGGGAGTCGGGCTGACTGGACGCTCCTTTGCCCAGACCGGTTGCCTCTAGCCTGGGAGGGTTCGGAATTCCCCAGTGACGCACCTGCCTCCCCCGCTGCCCCATAAGCCGGGGACTGCCGAGTCCCCAGCGCTCCGACCAGCAGGCGCTTATCAAAAGTTTGTCAACTGGATAAAATGACCGTGACCGGATCTCGGCGGGAGGTGGGGAAACTGAAAGCCACAGGGGCAAGGAGGCGGGAAAGTGGGAATCCTGAAGTAGTGCCACAGTCGTGTGTGCATTTCACAAGAAGGGCCGTGACTGAATAGAGAGGGAGCCCGCGGAGACCTTCAGGCTGCGGACTGTAAGGGGGCGAGGGACCACGAAGGGGATCCAGTAAGCTATGAGTCCTGAAAACAAGAGAAGCTTCCCGGTCGAAAGGCACGGTCACGCCTCCCCGTCTTTGCTCAAGAAGTTCCCTTCACTCAGATCGAAGTTCGTTCCCACTTCTCCAACTGTGGGAGTCCTGAACGTGCACCTCCTCAGAGAAGCCCTTCTGAGTTCTCTAATGACAGCTTGTTTCTCCATCCCCCAACACCTTCGTTGGGCCTGTGACTACAAGGACCGTGAACGTAGTAACCCCAAGTTGGAGGAGAGGATTCCTGGTATTGCGGGGGGTGGGGGGCTCCCTTCTGAGGAGGCCAAGAGAGGCCTGGGCAAAGGGGAAACGGCCACGCCCGCGCCTGCTTGCCACTGGCTCTCCACGGGACCTTTGACATCTCCGTCCCTCTTCGTCTGGCACATTTCGCTGGCCCAACCCTGTGCGCCCTCCTACTCCCTGCCCATTCCAAATTCCGGCCCTGGGCGGGCACTAATCCGCAGCAGGTTGGACCCCGGGCAGGCTCTGGGTGAAAAACAGCGTGCCCGCCGGCAGTGCAAAAGCAGACTCGCGAGCGGACCATGCGGCTAGACCGACTGCGCGCGCTGCCGAGCGCTGTGGCCTGTGGGCTCCTGCTTCTGCTCGTCGGGGCCCAGGGTGAGGCTCCTGCGGAGGGGCGACGGCGGCCGGGGTCGGATCTGCCAAATTCTGCAGAGGCAGAACCGGAGACTGCGGGAGGGAAAGTGCTTAGGAGGTAGATGCTGGTGGAGATGACAGCGCGGGAACTTTAAGGAACAGACAGGGTCAGGGCCACCAGGCACAAAGGCGAGGAGAGAGCCAAGTACAAGAGAAGCGCTGGGACAGAGACCACAGCCTCGGGATGTGGAAGAATTTAGTACATTTCCTTCTTGTATTTGTGGCTATAACTGGTGCTGCCTGCGGGTGATAACAGAAATAATACCTTCCCACAGCCATCTAGCTTTAAGTCGAGTCCTTGGCGGAGATGTGGGGAGTGCGCCTGCACCCCCTCCAAGAGGGCCCCAAGCAAAAGTACTGTCCCTTGGAGGATACAGAAACCCCTGTCCCCTGGTGCCACATCCTAAGCCTATCTAAGACATCATAGGAAGGCGGACACCTGTAATCCCAGCACGTTGGAAGGCCAGAGGATTGCCTGAGCTCAGGGGTTTAAAAAAAAAAAAAAAATTAGCTGGGCGTGGTGGAGCATGCCTGTGGTTCAAGCTTCTTGGAAGGCTGAGGTGGAAGGATCGAGGTGGAAGGATCGCCTGAGCCCAGCAGATGGAGGTTGCAGTGGCCATGAGCATGCCAGTGCACTCCAGCCTGGGCAACAGAGTGAGACTTCCACTCAAAAAAAAAGAAGCTATAGAGTCCTCTCATCCCATGCACCCTGCTCAGGGGAGGGCATAGCTTGGATTCCAGGGCAAAGGTGATGGTACTTTGTGCCTGCCAGGCTTCTCCAGGCCCTTATCAGAAGCTCAGGATGAATCTGCGGACTTTGATCCTCTCACTCAAAACTCTCCCAACTGTTCTGGTTCTCTCTCCCCACCCTCCTCCAGTCTAATCTTCCCAGTAGGAGTCAACACTCACCTCTGCCCCAAACACATCCCCACAGGGCTTCCTTCCTTACCAGTCCGTGACCAGGCAGAAAAACCTGCCTCACCTCACAGCTATTTTAAAATATTATTTGGGGCTAGACATGGTGGCTCACAACTGAAATCCCAGCACTTTGGGAGGCTGGGGAGGGAGAATTGCTTGAGCCCAGGAGTTTGAGACTACCCTAGGCAACATAGCAAGACCTCATTTCTACAGGAAAAAAAAAAAATTAGCTGGGCATAATGGCATGCACCTATAATCCCAGCTACTCGGGAAGTTGAGGCAGAAGGATTGCCTGAGCCCAATAGGTCGAGGCTGCAGTGAGCTGTGATCATGCACTGCACTCCAGCCTGGGTGACACAGTGAGAACCCGACTCAAAAAAATAAATCAATAAGATACTATTCTGAGTTGGACCTACATTCAGAAAGACTAAATGATAAGCCATAAGAAGGTACAGGTGGTAGGTCCCACTTTTGTCTGTCCTGCCAGTCTTGGCTCCTCTACAGGGGTCATCAAGATCTCCAGGGCCTTAGACACAATGTCCTGCAGTTTATCCAAGAATGGATATATGTACTTGTCCTTATTTTTCACCTAAATGGTCATAAACTCACCCACTTTCTTGTGCCAGACTCTTCTACTTCCTGACACAGAAATTGACCTCACACCCCTGGGTAATAGAGCTTTCTTATGCCACTTAAAGGAAGGGCTTCTCTTCAAGGATAAAGCATTGTTGACAGAACAAATCTCTAATCAGGGACAGTTCGGCGGGTTTTGTCCTTTGCTGTGACAAGCATCGGGCATCAGTGGCCAGTGGCTGCAGTGAATTACATGAATAGACATCCCATCCAGCAGGGAATTTTGTGTAGGCAGCATGTTACTGGGAAGAGAAGTGGGCCTTTTGACTTGGAAAGAAATTATTAAATTGTCCTCTCTGGCGCCTGTGAGTGACTGCTGACCCTGGCCTCACCCACACCACGTGGCATCAAACATGTTGATCCATGGTGATAGGTATATAGGGTACCATTAGCTCCCTGAGACTTCTGTATTTTTTTGCTTTTTATTATAGAAGTGGGCTCAGATTTCCCCAATTCTGCAGAGGCAGAACCTAAGATTGCAGGAGGGAAAATGCCAGGGAAGTGGGAGTCGGTGGAGAAAACAACAATAGGGGAAACATAGGCCTAACTGGACACCTCCCTGTGCACAGAGGGGGTTGGGGCTGCTTGAGGGCTGCACAGACAGCACCATGGGGTGAGCCCAATGTGAGGTAGAGAGAATAGTACAACAAATCCAATGTGCCTATCATCCACCTTCAACAAGGATGAGACTTGGACAACCTAGTTTTACCTAGACTTGCCACCTCTCCTTTGCATTATAACTTGAAGCAGATCTCAGATAGCATGTCATCTATAAATTTTTCATCATGTCCTACTAAAAGGAATGTGTGTGTGCGTGTACACATATGTGCATTTATACACTACAGTATGTTCTCAAATATATAGTCAAATGTTCTTATTTCATAAATGATATTTTATGTTTTTTTAAATCTGGATTTTTAAAAGTCTATACTTTGCAAATTGGTAGATTCTTCTTCCTCCCCCCTTCTTTCCTCCCTCCCTCCCTCCCTTCCTCTTTCTCTGTCTCTCTCTCTCTCTCTCTCTGTTTCTCTCTCTCTGTTTTTCTTTCATTCTCTCTCTCTCTCTCTCTCTCTGTCTCTCTCTTTCTTTCTTTCTTGTCGCAGTCTCACTATTGCCCAGATTAGAGTGCTGTGCACACTCATGGCTCACCACAGCCTTGACCTCCTATACTCAGGTGATTCTGCCTCAGCCTGTCAAGTAGCTGGGACTACAGGTGCATGCTACCACACCCACCTACTTTTAAAATTTTTTTGTAGGGACGAGGTCTTACTATGTTGCCCAGGCTGATCTTGAACTTCTGGGCTCAAACAATCCCTTTGCCTCAGCCTCCCGAAGTGCTGGGATTACAGCGGCCACTGCACTCCAGTCTGAGTGACAGAGTGAGACTCCAACTCAAAACAAGACAAAACAAAAATAAATAAATAAAAATAAAAATAGATATACTTACAGAGTTTAGTATACTTGCATCTATGCCCCCTTTCTCCCAACCTCGGACCTAGACAACTACCAATATGCATTCTGTCTCTATGGATATGAATATGCTAATAATGGACTTTTCATGTAAATGAAATTATACAACATATGGTCCTTTGTGAGGCTTCTCTCACTTAGCTTAATGTTTTCAAGGCTCATCCATATCGTAGCATGTTTCAGAACTTCATTCCTTTTTGTTGCTGGGTAATAGTCCATCATGTAGATATACCACATTTTATTGATTCGTTTATCAGTTGAGGGAGATTTGGATAGTTGCTTTTTGGTTATTACAAATAACCCTGCTATGAACATTAGTGTACAAGTTTTTGTGTGGACCTATGTTTGCAATTCTCTTAGGTTTATACCTAGAAGTAAAATTGCAGGGTCATATGGTAACTCTGTTTACTCCCTTGAAGAACTGCCAGACTGTTTTCCGAACTGGCTGTACCATTTTACCTTCCTACCAGCAAAGTATTAAGGTTCCAATTTTTCCACATCCTTACCAGCACTTCTCATTATGTTACTTGTGTGTGTCTCTTGAATCTCTTTAAATCTTCAGATTTCCCGTGACTCCCTTTTCTTTTCTTTCTAATTTTGTTGTTGTGTTGCAGAAAACAGAGGGGATCCACTGTTTGGGTTTTGCTGATTGTATATCAGTGGTGTCTTGTAATTGTCCCTCTGTTCCCTATATGCCCTGTAAACTTGAATTTGTATGCCAGAGGCTTGATCAGATTCAGCTGTTAGTTTTACTTTGTTTGTTTTGTTTTTTAGCAAGACTACTTCATATGTGGTGCTGTGTACTTCCAACAGAAAATATGCAATGTGTGATTGTCCTGCTCTTTGTGACAAAATAAGTAGTTCACATCACAGGGAGATTTCAATGTGCATGTCTTTTACCATGAATGAAATGAACATCTCTTCATTTGTTTAAGAGAGATTTACTTGTATGGCTTATTCATAACATATTCTTTCATCACTTTTTTCTTTTGCGCAGCTGGCATATTTCTTATTGGTTTGTAGAAAAGCTTTATGTCTTAAGAATATTGGCCTTCTCCATTAGTGACTTTCGATCACTTCCTCCCTCCCTGATTCCCACAGCAGGCAGGCTGTGCTTTTTGTGTCCTCGTCACAGCTGCACGTCACTCTTGTAGCTCTTTTCATCTACATCATTCCTTGTTTGGAGGATGCTTTCTTTATGTCATTTCTTGCCACCTTGAGCATGAGATACCTAAGAACAGGACCCTTGCCTGTCTGAGTCCCACAAATTCTTCACATGATCTGACACAGTTGAAAGGACGCTCTGGCCCCATCAAGCGCATGTGATCATTTGCTTGAAGCTCTTGGGGCTGAATGATGGTGCCAAGCCCCAAGAATCCTCAGTGAGCCTGGTGGGATAGGCTGAGGACAGGCCCAGGACAGTGGAGTGGGAGGGGACAGTATTAAGTAGAAAGTCTGTAAAGCCACTGTTTGTGAATAAGGGTCTCTTGAGCTGAGCTTTGGATGGGAAAGAAGTGACAATACCATCAGTATGGGGGGGGGTAGCTAGTTGGCAGGGCTGTCCCAACACTAATCTCTACATCTCTGTTCAAGGCCAGGACTCTGCCAGCCCCATCTGGACCACGCACATGGGGCAGGTGCGGGGGAGCCTCATCCATGTGAAGGGCAGTGACGTGGGGGTCCATGCCATTCTGGGAATCCCCTTTGCGAAGCCACCTCTAGGGCCGCTGCGATTTGCACCCCCTGAACCTCCTGAATCCTGGAGTGGCGTGAGGGATGGAACCTCCCACCCGGCCATGTAAGCTCTCCCAGGGGTCTAGGGAATGCCAGCCCTGGGGCGGGGGCGGGAGCGGGAGTGGGAGTATTGAGCTCATAGGCTTCAGTTGTCATTTCATCTAAACCCCCACAGCTTGAGTTTGGTGGATTTCCACATGTATTTTTTCCAATGAGCATGCTGAGACCCGGGTGCTGGAATAACTTTCCCTGCCTCCTGGCTCAGAGCTTGGCACTCAGAGGGCATTAGCTTCAGGTGCTGAAGGGAAGAGCTGAGACACACATCTCCCCCAGATTCTGGTTATGCTAAGTGTTCTCTGTCATGAGTAGAAGGTGTTTCTGAGAAAGGCTCAGGTCGGCCTGATGAACTTTGTAGGAACCCCTGACTCTAGCAGCAGATACTGCGGATCCCTGAGGAAGGCAGCAGTGGAGGCTCTCTGAGGACCCCCACTCTCCATGGTCACTGTGTCAACTGACAGAGTTAGGTGTCATTGGTCAAGGGACATGTGTATGTTCTTAAAACTCAAGTCTTTGGGGAGTGATGAGGTTTCCTGAGATTCTATACTTGGAATGAGGGATGTCACTGAGCTTCTCATGAGAAATTAACAACCATTCATTCATGTAGCATTTGTGTGGGCTACTCCCCTATACCAGACCTGGGTGGGTACAGGGATACAGTGGTGAATGTCAATGCATGCAGCCAGTGGTTAGTGGTATCCAAGATCCTCAACAACCCTGAGGCCTCCCTGGACGACCAAGTTCTGACCCAACTTCCTCAAAGCCTATGGCCTGTAACTTGGTGAGAAGGGACTTTAGAGAAGGATCATGTATAAGCAGGATATTGGGGAAGGGGGCTGGGAGCAAATCTGGATCTAGGGTCTGGTTTCAGCCACAGCACAGTCCCTGAACTAACTATCTGCCATGGCTACCAGGTGTCTGCAGAGCCTCACTTCAATGAATTCAGAGTCTCTGGGCCTGACCCTGCCTCCCACCCCCATGTCTGAGAACTGCCTATACCTCAACGTCTACACACCTGCACATGCCCATGAGGGCTCTAACCTGCCTGTGAGTGTCAGGCAACAGTCGGCCGGGGAGGGGGGGACATTTTTTCTGCAAGAAGATTAGAAAGGACACTATCAACTTGGACCCAGATGAAGTGTGGTCCCTGTTGAGGATCTTACCATTAGGCCCAAGAAGTGCTTCTTACCCAGGGTGGGTAGGGCAGCTGATCCCTGGGCATGGGGTCACAGAGCTCTGGCTGCTGCCAGAGGTCAAAGGCTGTGGCCCTGAGATGGACTCACTGAGTTCATACAATGAACTTATGCCAGGAGACCCACTCAGGTGCCTGAGGGCTGCACTTTGAGGTCCCCAAAAACCCCGCCATGGATGACCTGCTGGGCCTTTGAGAATGGAGGACATTCTCAGTTAATGTTCGTGTGGGATAACAGGGAGATACTCCTTTTCTTTCCACTTCTGTGAGGGTTCTGAGAATAATGGAACCAGGCTTTGACACATGGGGTAGACCTCAAAGTTTGGGAGGCTTGGTCTTCCTGATAGAACTTGGTCCACTCACCCGTGGCCTAGGTCATGAAGTCTTGCTGGAGTTAGTTCTATGTGGGACAGATGTGGGCAGGGCCAAAGCAGTGGTTGGTCTAGGGAACAGCCCTGGTGTGGTTTGGGTTGGATGGGAGCCACGTGGTATCTTCCTTGATTTCTCCAGGTGATGGTATGGATCCATGGTGGTGCACTTGTTAAGGGCATGGCTTCCATGTACGATGGCTCCATGCTGGCAGCCTTTGAGGATGTGGTAGTGGTCATTATCCAGTACCGCCTGGGTGTCCTGGGCTTCTTCAGGTGAGACTGGGACTGGGCTGGGCAGCGCAGGTTTGAGCGGAGCCAGGACAGCCCTGTGATCTCTGTCCTGCCACCTCTCAGCACTGGAGACAAGCACGCAACTGGCAACTGGGGCTACCTCGACCAAGTGGCCGCGCTACGCTGGGTGCAGCAGAATATCGCCTACTTTGGAGGCAACCCTGACCGTGTCACCATTTTTGGCGAGTCTGCGGGTGGCACGAGTGTATCCTCACATGTCGTGTCCCCCATGTCCCAAGGACTCTTCCATGGTGCCATCATGCAGAGTGGTGTGGCCCTGCTGCCCGACCTCATCACCAGCTCATCTGATGTGATCTCCTCAGTGAGTGCCTCAGGCATAGAAGCCCAGGCCTGCTGCCTCCCCTCTTCCCTCTCAGAGCCTCTGTCTGTTAAATGCAGATAACAAAGACTATTGGGGTCCCTGGGAACTGCCACCTTCCTGGGGATTCCTTAGGTGCTCAAGGGTTAAAATCCACATAACTCTGTGTCCTCTGTGCAAAGCTGCTGTCCTGGGCGGTTCCCCATATGGGCAGAATCATCTAAGCAGGTGGGATGGCCCCTCTGGCTGACAATTCTGAACATTCTCAGAATTTAGGAAGTTGGAACAATTTTAAAACTGTAGGGCTTCACACACAGCACCCTGTGAGATGTGGGGTGCCCCTGCCCCCAGCTTGGTCCTTGGGCAAACTCCTCTCCCCTACTTGGAAGAATAAGTCAGCCCCTACCTGGTCCCTTTGCAGATCGTGGCCAACCTGTCTTCCTGTAACCAGATTGACTCAGAGGCCCGGGTAGGCTGCCTGCGGGGCAAGAGTGAAGAGGAGATTCTGGCTGTTAACAAGGTCGGACTATGCGGATGTGGGTGTGGAGGAAGGGGCACAATAGAATGTGGGGCAGGCAGGCCTGGGTGCCTTAAACCCCTGGATAAGTGACCTGACCGCCATGTCTTGGTGTCCTCATAGATCTGGATGGGAAATGGAGACCGGGCATGTGGAGCCAGGCATAGTGTCTCCTGGAGGTAGTGGGGTGCGAGCATCCTGGGATGACCAGGAAGGGATGGAAGGCACTCAGAGGGCATCAGAAAATGATGGGACCTGACCTTGCTCCCTGGCCTTGCATGCCCCCCAGCACTTCAAGTTCATCCCAGGCATGGTGGATGGGGCCTTCCTGCCCAGGCACCCCCAGGAGCTCTTGGCGTCTGACGACTTTCAACCTGTCCCCAGCATCATTGGTGTCAATAACGATGAGTATGGCTGGATCATCCCCATGGTGAGACCCAGCCCCGAGGCCCTAGGCACCTAGGGAGCCCATCTGGTAGGGAGGGCTTCAGGGCTTCGTTGCTCCAGGCTTATGCCACCCCCAACTCGATACTCTCTCTCACCGGGCTAGGTGGCTCAGCCTGTAATCCCGCACTTTGGGAGGCTGAGGTGAGTGGATTGCTTGAGCCTGCAGGTTCGAGACCCGCCTGGGCAACTTGGTGAGACCTCATCTCTGCAATAAATTTTTTTTAAAAATTAGCTGGGCGTGGTAGCGCATGCCTGTAGTTCCAGCTACTAGGAAGGCTGAGGTGGAAGGCTCGCCAGAGCCCAGCAGGTTGAGGCTGCGGTGGCCGGGAGTGGCCACTGCACTCCAGTCTGGGTGACAGAGTGAGACTCCAACTCAAAAAAAAAAAAAAAAAGAATGCAATGTATTAGAAAGTCCACAGATAAGCCAAGCATGGTGGTATACACCTGTAGACCCACCTACTGAAGATGACTGAGGTGGGAGGATCACTTCAGCCCAGGAGTTTGAGGCTACCGTAAGCCATGAGTGGGGCTGTAGTAAGCCATGAGTGTGCCACTGCACTCCAGCCTGAGCAACAGAGTGAGACTCCAACTAAAAAAAAAAAAGCAACAATACTCTCTCTCTTTGCCCCTCAGGTCATGGGCGTCTGTAACACCCAGATGGAAATAGACAGAGAAGCCTTGCAAGCTGCTTTGCAGAAAACGTCAGAACAAATGGTGAGGCTCCTGGGGCCCTGCCCCAATGGAGAGGGGTTCCTCTCCTGTCTGGCAGGGGAAGCTCATCCCCCAGATATCCTACCCATGCCGCGATCCCCATGAGCAAAGGCCAGGATATATGTGTGTTTGTGGATGGAGTCGCCTCAGAGTTTGGCTCTTTCCCCCAGTCCCTGTTCTGTGGCCTATCACCCCACCCCCGAGGCTGCTGCCTCTCTGTCCCTGGCAGCCAGCCTAACCTGCCTCTACCTCCTTACCTAACTGGGGTAGATGTTGCCTCCTGAATTTGGTGACCTGTTGATGGAGGAGTACACGGGGAACAGTGAGGACCCCCAGATTCTCCAAGCCCAGTTCCGGGAGATGATGGGGGACTTCATGTTCATCATCCCAGCACTTCAAGTAGCGTATTTTCAGCGTGAGTACATTCGTACCTGAGGCCTGGCTGGCAGGGGGCAGCTCAGCACTATAGGGCCTGGGTGAGATCCACTGGTGTCCAGATCCCCACCCACATCTTCATTGGGTCCCCGGAGCCAGGCACTTTGATGTCCCTCAGCTCAGTCAATCCTCATGGCTAGTCTAAGAGAAAGACACTTCCCCTATTTTCCAGCAAGGTGATGGAAGTTAGTGACCTCCAGTGACTTGCCCAAGACCACACAGCTAGGAATTCCACGGCCGTGATTTAACCCAGGCCCTTCCCACTGGCCCCACTCCAGTCTGGGACAACCCTACCCCATTGCACAGATTCCAGCCAGCTTTAGATGTGGATATCGTGTCACCATCGGTGACACAGGAAAACTCCAGGTGAGGGGCTGCCATATCATGGCCTGTCCACCGTCCCAGGTTCCCATGCGCCTGTCTACTTCTACAAGTTCCAGCATCAGCCCAGCTTCTTTAAGAACATCAGGCCACCCTACGTGAAGGCAGACCATGGAGATGAGATTCCCTTTGTTTTTGGAAGCTTGTTCTGGAACAGCAACGGTGAGTCTTCCTCCCTCCCTAGGAGGTGGGATGGGTTGCTAGCTGGGTTCCTGAGAGGTATATGGATAAAGCAAGAGGATCAGAGAGAGGACATGATCAGGCGTCCAAAATCTTACAGCTGAAAAGGTCAAGCCGGGATTAGAATCCAAGACTCTTCAGACTGTGGCCTGAAGAGTCTCTCCCCACCTCCCACATCCTATCATGAGTGTCTGGCATGGGTGTAGGGGGGGTGCATTTCAAAGGTGCATTTATTTCTTAAATGACTCTCATTGTCAAAAGGAAAGGGCCATCTGAGCCAGGAATGCAGCCAAGATGGAGTCAGCTAGAGGCTGAACTGAGGGAGAAGAGTTTGGAAAAGGAGAGGACTAGCTGAGTGTGGTGGTTCACCTGCAGTTCCAGCTACTTGGGCCCAGGAGTTTGAGGCTGCAGTGAGCTATGATCTCACCACTGCATTCTAGCCTGGGTGATGGAGTGAGACCCTGTCTATAAGGAAAAAAGAAAAAAAAAGAAAAGAAAGGGGAGGGCCGGGCTCGGTGGCTCAGCCTGTAATCCCGCGCCTTTGGGAGGCTGAGGTGAGTGAATTGCCTGAACCCGCGGGTTCGAGACCTGCCTGGGCAGGTGAGACCTCATCTCTACAATAAAATCAAAAAATTAGCCGGGCGTGGTAGCGCGCGCCTGTAGTTCCAGCTACCCGGAAGGTTGAGGTGGAAGGATCGCCGGAGCCCAGCAGGTGGAGGCTGCGGTGGCCGGGAGCGGCCACTGCACTCCAGTCTGGGCGACAGAGTGAGACTCCAACTCAAAAAAAGAAAGGGGAGGGCCTGGCTTCTGAGAATAGTGGAGGAAGTGCAGAGAAGCAGGCCTGTAGGGGCCAGGAACAAGCTATACCTGGGATGCTGAGTGTGGCGCATGAACGAGCAGCTGGACTGGGGTTGGCCCTGTCGTGGACACTTACCCCTTCCTCTCTGCAGTTAAAGTCACTGAGGAGGAGGAGCTGCTGATCAGGAAAGTGATGAAGTACTGGGCCAACTTTGCTCGAAATGGGTGAGATGGTGTACTCCTGCCTCAACCTCCCCAGGGAGCTGGTACCCACCCAGAGCTCCCCTTGTCTCTGGTGACCTCATTAGCATGCATGTGTCCTTAATCACATGATAGCCCCTTCCCCGGCTCCAGGACACACAGGACTGAGGGCTTGTGTGGGTGCTGATGTGCTGCCTGCAGAGCAGGTGATAGTGCTGTGGTACCGTCAGGGCGGGAGGGAGGGACAAAACAGATCAGGTTGCCCTGATCCCACATGGAGCTGACACTAGTAGGCAGTAGTTTCTTTCCTATTTCTGGACCCCCCCCCCATGCACAGTCCCACCTGACCTCCTTGACTGCTTTGCCTAACCTGTCAGGGCACTCAGGTCTGGGTTTGGCAGGGCTCAGAGTGACCCTGGCACTCCCCTGTTGGGGGGAACATGTCTACAGGGACCCCAATGGCGAGGGACTGCCCCTCTGGCCCAAGTTCGACCAGGAAGAGCAATACCTGCAGCTAGATTTACAGCCTGCAGTGGGCCGGGACCTGAAGGCACACAGGCTCCAGTTCTGGATGAAGAGCCTGCCCCAGAAGATCCAGGAGCTGAAGGATGCCGAGAAGAAGCACACAGAGCTGTAGCTCCCTGCGTCGGGGAGTGAGAGGTGGACTTGCTTGCAGATGGGGGTCTGCCTGATGTGCTCACACAAACCCACTGAGGAACTAGCAGTTGATTCCTTCATCCATTCTTCCGTTCTTCCACAGGTTCATTCAGAAGCCTACTCAGGTGCAGTGGCTCATGCCTGTAATCCCAGCATTTTGGGAGGCTGAGGCGAGATGATTGCTTGAGCCCAGGAGTTTGAGACCAACTTAGGCAACATAGCAAGACCTCGTCTCTACAAATAAACAAAAGAAAAAAGTTAGCTAGTCATGGTGGTACATGTCTGTAGTCCCAGCTACTTGGGATACTGAGGTGGAAGGATCACCTGAAACCAGGTGGTTGAAGCTGCAGTGAGCCATGATTGTGTCACTGAACAGCCTGGGCAACAAAGTGAGAACCTGACTAAAAAAAAAAAAAAAAAAAAAGCCTGTGTCCACTTCTCTGCAAGTTTCCCATGTGTTCTCATATCTGTAAGTGGTCAACAGAAAACTTTGAAGCCAGAAGCCCTAGTGTCTGAGTTTGTTCAGGCTGCTGTAACAAAAATACTATAAACTGGATGCTTTATAAAAACAGAAATGTATTGCTCACAGTTCTGGAGGCTGAAAGGTCCAGGATCAAGGTGCCAGCAGATGTATCTGGTGAGGACTTGTTCTCCGACTCTTAGATGGTGCCTTCTCACTGTGTCCTCACATGCAGAAGGGCCAGATGAGCTTCCTCCAGGCTCTTCTACAAGGGCACTAATCCCATTCATCTCCCAAAGGCCCACCCCCCCCAACACCATGACATTGTGGATGAGGTTTCAGCATATGAATCTTGAGGGGATGCGAGTATTCAGACCACAGTACCTAGGGCTTCCAGATCTCAGCCACTGAAGTTACTAACTACTAAAAATGTAAAATTCCCTGTCCCCACGGATTGTCCCCTTAGAGTAAACGTCATCTATCATTGACATTTAAAACAACCCATTCACCCACCAGACTGTGTCCTGCAGCGATGACTAACCCTATTTTTGTGAGAAGCAGTACTGAGCTTGTGTGTAGGCTCCCGGAGCTTGGGCTGGCTGTGCAGTGGCCATGAAAGCCAGGTGGGTCCCTTAGTCATTGTCTCCTCAAGTTTGCTTTAATACTTTGGTCCCCAACCTTTTTGGCATCAGGGGCCGGTTTCAGGGAAGACAATCTTTCCACGGATGGTGGGGGCAGGGTAGGGCCAAAGATGTGCAGTCAAACATCACTGCTAATGTCAATCTGTATTTGCAGCTGCTCCTCAGTGCTAGCATCACTGCCTCAGCTCCACCTCAGATCATTAGATTCTCATAAGGAGTGTACAACCTAGATCCCTCGCTCTTCACTAAAGAGTTTGTGCTCCCGTGATAATCTAATGCTACCGCTGATCTGACAGAAGGCAGAGCATAGGCAGCAATGCCAGTGATGAGGAGCATCACTGTTGTAAATATGGATGAAGTTTCACTGGCTTGCCTGCCACTCAGACTCTGCTGTGTGGCCCAGTTCCTAATAGGTCACGGACTGGTACCAATCCATGCCCCGGGGGTTGGGACCTGACCCCTACGCTAGTACATTCTCAGCGGTTCTGCAGACACTGTGGAGCCCACACTTACATGATCATAGTGCACTGTGAAGATGTTTATCTGTGGATGTGTCCTGGAAGTGAGATTAAGAGGTCAGAAGGTCCAGGAACATCTGGGAGAAAAGATTCCTGTCCTTTGGCTACTGAGAGCCTCTCTGTCCAGGGAGGTGTTTCTTGCCTTTCAGAATTCCCCTACTAACCCCCCTGCCCCCAAGCATCCCCCAACTCACCATGGGTGTCCACATGATAACTTTTCCTACTTACCTCATTGTTGTCCCTAAACTCTTCCTGCCACCAAAAAAAAAAAAAAAACCCTCAAAAAAAAAAAATCTATATATTTTTGAGTTGGAATCTCACCCTATCACCCAGGCTAGAGTGCAGTGGCACACTTAACGGCCACCACCACCTTGACCTGCTGGGCTCAGGTGATTTTCCACTTCAGTCTTCCAAGTAGCTGGAACTATGTGTGTGCAGCACCACCCCTGGCTAATTTTTTGATTTATCATAGACACGAGGTCTCACCAAGTTGCCCAGGCTGTTCTCAAACCCCTGGCTCAGGCAATCCTCTAGCCTCAACCTCCCAAAGTGCTGGGATTACAGCCATGAACCTCCATACTCAGCCCCTCTTTTGCATGCTTTTACTCAGTATGCAAAAGTGGCAAGTTTTGTTCAATCTGCCTCTTTATTCCACCAGAGCACTTTCTCATTGTCATAAGAGGGGCTGTGTTCCTTGTCCCACAGTTCCTAGTACTCATCTTAGTCCCTAACCTCTCTGACCAACTTACCCTCTCAGGGCACCAGTTTTTCCAGGGAGAAGGCCCCCTTCTTTCCATCCATTGCATTTAAGCCCAGCCACAGGAACTTGTGAAGTCTGGGGTAAAAAGCCAAGATTCCCTGACCAGGCACAATGGCTCACTCCTGTAATCTCAGCACTTTGGGAGACTGAGGTGAGGGAATTGCCTGAGCCCTCCATTTGGAGACCAGACTGGGCAACTTGGCAAGATGTCGTTTCTACAATAAACCAAAAACTTAGCTGAACGTGGTGGTGCACACCTATAGTTCCAGCTACTTGGAGGGCTGAAGTGGAGCAGGTCGACACTGCGGTGGTGGTGATTGTGCCACTGCACTCCAACCTAGGCGACAGAGTGAGAATCGACTCAAACAAGATTCATGCGTTTCCCATTCTGGCCACCAGGTGGCAGACAAGGATAACGTTAAGCCCAGATTGACTCGAACTTGGGAGAGGGAAGAGACTGCTTTTAGTAAAGGCTGACTGTGCATAATACTTCCACTGCAGCCTGACAGCATTCATTGAGCACCTGCTGCACGCATGACACTGTATATTTTTCAGTTCTGCAGATACACAGCATACTTTCCCAAAATGGATTCTCAGAACTGTTTTTTAGGCTTTTATTTCTCTCTCTCTTTTTTTTTAGTCTCACTTTCACCCAGGCTGGAGTGCAGTGGCATACTCACAGCCACAGCAGCCTCTACCTGTTGGGTTCGGGTTATTCTTCTGCTTCAGCCTTCAAAGTAGCCGAAACTACAGGCATGCACCACCATGCTCAGCTAATTTTTTGATTTATTATAGAGACGAGGTCTCGCCATGTTGCCCAGGCTGGTCTCCAACCTGTGGGCTCAGGCAATTCTCTCGCCTCTGTTTCCCAAAGTGCTGGGATTACAGGCTTAGTCACTGTGTCCGGCTGTTATATTATTTTTAAACAGCTTTATTATGGAACAATTTACATTACAATTAAATTCACCCATTTTAAGGTATACATTTTGAGAACTTTGAGTAAATGTATAAGATATGCAACCGCAAGAAGTTTTAGAATGTTTCTATTGCTCCAAAAGTCCATGTTCCCTGCAGTCTACCATTGTTCTGACCTATACTCCTAGACAACCACCACATTGTTTTCTGTTGCTATAGTTTGCCTTTTCTGGAATATCATATAAACTGAATCATTTGTAACGGCTTCTGTCACTTTGCATCATGTTTTTGAGATTCAACCAGTAGTTCTTCTCTTTTATTGCTGAGTGGTACTCCATGTAGCTACAGCTCTCTAACTATGGAGATTGGATAAATCACTCATTTGAGTGATTTCCATTTTTTGTTTTGTTTTGTTTTTGAGTCCAGGCATGCACTGTGTCTGGCTAATTTTTTTATTTTTTGTAGAAATGAGGTTTCACTGTTGCCCTGGTTGGCCCAGCTGATTTTGTGTGTGTGTGTGTGTGTGTGTGTGGCTATTTTTAATAAGACTGCTGTGGACATTTTAAGACAAGTCTTTGTGTGGATATATGCTTTAGTTTCTTTGGGATAGATACCCGAGACCAAAATTGCTGAGTCATGGTAAGTGTGTGATGAACTTTTAAAGAAAATGCCAAACTACGAGGTCTGACAATTAAGTTTGCGAAGTCATCCTAGAAAAAGTCTATATACCTCATTGCTGAATATCACTATGGTCACCCTAGTACTTCCCTTGGGAAGATATGCACTGACACCAGCACCTAGTCTACCCATCAAGGCAATTTTGGAACTCTTTTTCTGGAATGGCCATCAGAGCTGTCATCGTATTATCCTTGATGTCCTGAATGCTATCAGAATGTCTTCCTTTCTTTTTTTTAACTAATTAATTTATTATTATAAAGATGTGGGGTACAATTCAGGGCCAGATATATAAACATTGATCATGCAGGTACCCTTGTTGATGAGGCATGCCCCTCCCTCCCCTAGCAGCTTCCCCCAGCTGCCAGTCCCACACCCCCGTCTTCCTTTCAATATTTCCTTTACCTTCAGGTAAAGAAAAATGTCACCAGGGACCAGATCAGGGGAGTAGGTAGGGTGTTCCAATACAGTTATTTGTTAACTGGCTAAAAACTCCCTCACAGACAGTGCTGTGTGAGCTGGTACATTGTCGTGATGCAAGAGCTCCTCTGGGAGCTAAAATAATAAATAATAAATTTTAGCACACACCTTTCTCATCCCAAGGTTTTCAGTTAAGATTTTCCTGTTTCTCCGTTGATGTTTATTTAGTCTGCTATACTTCTCATGGTCAGCCAACAATGTTGACACACAATTCAATGAATTTTTACAATGTCTTCATCAGTTCTGCTCGTTACTGGCCGTCCTGACCTCTCTTCATCAGTGATGCGTTCTCTCCCCTTAGAAATATGTTTAATCCATTTGTACCCTGCCATTTTCTTCAGGGAATTGTCCCCATAAACTTGGACTAACATGTCCCTGATTTCACCTCCACTCTTGCCAAATTTAATGTAATGTTTGTTCATTGTTCTAATTCAAGCACTGACATTCTCACAACAGCACACAAAAACATTCAACAACAATAATAAACACCACTCAGCAAGATACCCCCACACATCAACACGAATACAACTG